TAAGAAAGATGTCAAAGCTTAAATTTAAAGTCTTAATTACTCACAGATGCTGTTTAGATGACACTTAGGAAGTCATGAATGAGTTTGAAATCAGTGTATGTTATTTGTTGAACTTTGAGTGGTTAATTTGATTGTTTTCATTTTAGCTATGCAAGAGAATCCAACAAATTAATAGACCTTCCAGATGACTACAGCTGTCTCATTAATCAAGCATCTAATTTCTCGTAAGTTGTATGCAATTATAATGAAGACCCCTAAAGCCTTTTATTGTTTCTGATGAACTGGAAAGTGCCCTAGCCTGAAACCCTCACAAAGACTGTTTATAGCCTCATGGAGTTAATGGCAATTATGGATTGTCATTTTTTCTAGCAAAAAAATCTGTGTGTTTCTGTGAAGCAAAAATTGCAGCATATAAACTCTGTATAGTTTTTCAAAAATGCTTTTGCATCTGCCTACTGTTTAGAGAGTATGCGTACAGTGGATTTTCTGTTTTTGCTTAACAAAAGGTGTCCGAAATCAGGTGGTGATAAAAGCAGAGCCCCAACGTTGTGCCTTGTGTGTGGGACTATGCTGTGTTCTCAGAGCTACTGTTGTCAAACCGAATTAGAAGGAGAAGATGTTGGAGCCTGCACTGCACACACGTACACTTGCGGTTCCGGCGTGGGCATATTCCTTAGGTAAGGAGCTGAACATCTCTCCCGATGTTGCTAAGGTAGATAGTGTGGGCAGACATAAAATAGTTCATTCCAGAAGGGAATTGTGGGGGGTCTTTTTGTGAAGGAAGTTACACTAGCAAATGATTTACTAGTGTAGCAGGATTTCTTAAAAACTAGAGTGTATTTGTCTTCCTTACGCTTCAGCGTATTCTGACCTTGTTTCTCTAAAGGGAAGATCATGGAAAATTCGAATCTCATATTAAGCAGGATATGTCTTCTATATGTGCTTTTTATTTCTACTGAAGTATTACAAAATAGTGAAGCTAAATTCCTTGTTTTTTTTTCCTTTGAAAATGTGAGAATTTTAGTTGTTTTCCCTAGAAGATTTAATCCACAATTATCTCAGATGTGTCAGATCATAATGTTACGTTTTCTCATAATTTTCTCGTAGGTTGTGTTGTACGTATGCAAGAGGAGGTTAGATGTTGTATGCTTTCACCTTGGCAAAGAGCAGTGAAAAATGAAATTGTATTTTCTTGTGGTGGTTTTGTAGAGTAATTTACACAGATGGCAAATAATAG